GCACGCACAAGGTCGACGGATGGAGGAAGTACTGCATGGACAGGGGGAAGAGGAACTCGTTGAAATCGCGGTCGGACATGTAGGCAATGCTCGCGTCCAGAGGGCAAAGATTCTGGATGCCATAGCCCTCGGGCAGCTGGCGGTGGGCAGGAGAGAGCGAGTGAGCGAAAGCACGCGCACGGCCAGGCCGGCTAGTGAGGGCACATGCGAATGCTGAACAAGAAGAGCCCCGGCAGCCGGCAGCCGCGTGTGTGTCGGCACAGCAGGGCCAGTGGGCCAGCAGTTCAGGCCCCCTGGAGAGGGCCGAAGGACCAAAGCAGGCCATGGCAACGCACATTGGTGATGTTGGGGATGCGCAGGTAGGACAGCGGGCCGCCCTTGGGCTGCGGTGCGCCGGGGAACCCGTCAAACCGGTAGTACGGGCTGAAGTTAAGGAAGTCCAAATCCGGCTCCTCCTGCATGTCGTGATAGTTGGAGACATAGGTGCTGGACATGATGACCATGTCGAAGGTCGGCCGGTGGTTGTGCTGGTACAGGCTGGCGATCGTGAAGTTATCGGCTGGGAAGACAAACTCCTGGGAGAGGGGCGTCATGAGCGGCAGGCCCGGCAAAAGGGGGAAGCATTCGCTGCTGCCGGTGTTGCTGTTGGCCGCGAGGGCGGCGTCATCGTGGTCCTGGCCGTGGGTGCCATGCAGGCCGAGCGAGGCGGCGATGGCCGGGCGAGCGGCCGCCTCGGAGGCCGCCCGGGCCGCGGATTGAGAGGACCCAGTACCGAAGTAGTAGTCATCGCACTCGCACTTGAGGTACGGCGCAACGAGGGGGGGTGGCCGGAATTGGCACTCCTCGGGGATGCCACTGGAGGCGGACATGGTGTCCGCCTGGGTGGCGGCCGCTTGCGACTTTGCTCCGCCGGGCGCGAAGAAAGAGGAGGAGGAGGAGGTGGAGGAGGAGGCGGAGGCGGCCCGCATGGCGGCGGCCTTGGCGGCCACCTCCGACGAGAGGGCCGGCCGTTCGCGGACCATGCGGATGGCCCGGGACAGGAGCTCTTGCGACATCCACTCCGGCCGGCCATCGAGGCCGGTGGCCATGCGCGGTGGCAGGCCGGACGCCTCGGCGTCGTCGTGGGCGTTGTGCTGGGGGGCGGCGGCCGTCAGGGCGGGCAACAGCAGCAGCAGCAGCAGCAGCAGGCCGCCAAAGACGGTGGCGGGGGAGCGGCCTGCCGCGGCGGCCGCGGCCGCCGGACTGGCGCGATGGTGCATCTCGTCCAGCCGGGGGTGTGGCGCCGGGCGGGCGGAGCGTCGAGGGGCGGGCCGGTGGGGCAAGGCGAGTCGCGAGGCCGGAGGGTCAGCGGAGAGGCGACGGGAGGTTGGGAGGAGGGTGTTGGCAGTGACGCGCGTGAGGGGGGTGCGCGGGGCAGGGTCGGGGGACCGCCTCCCGTTGGGGCACCGGCCGTCCGGGGGGG